CGACCCCTGGCCACCCGACAGGCCGTTGCCGAGGCGCGGATGGAGGACTGCGGGCCGCGTCACTGACGCGGATGGATGGACTGGTCGGTCACAGGAAGAGACGGTCGGGCGGCCGGGGGACCAGTAAAGGAGGCTGAGGTGCGGTCTTAGCGGCTGGTGCTTCCAGGGGGCGGGGAGGGTGGTGCAGGGGGCCGGATCTCCCTTCCTGGGGCTCCTGGAGCCCGCTGGGTCCCTAATAAAGTTGTCCACCTTCTGTTGCGGCCTCTCCCAGACCTGGGAAGCGAGGCGGCAGCACCAAGTCCCTGTGATAGAGATGGACAGATGGAGGGTGCTCAGACCGCAGGAAGGTTTGCCAGCAAACTTTTACCAGGTGGAGCCCGCTGCGCTGACGCAGCACTCCCTCCGCCTCCCCTGCACCTGCATTGACTTTGCTGAGTCCCTTGGGGCTGTAAGAAGAGTCTTGCCCTTGAGGCTGCTGTTTTCTGACACCTCCTAGCTCCATACCTTTGGGCGGACAGAATAATGAAGTCCCAAGATGGGGTGGGGGCTGGTACTGAGTTCTCTCCTAGGCCCCTGTTTTCCATTGGTGAGATGGAATCCCAGAGAGATTGAGGGGTTTCGTCCCACAATGCGGCAGCCCTTCCTCTTCTAGGAGAGGTTTTTTTCTCATGCCCTCATGCAGCTCAGCTCAGAGGACAGCCTTAGATAACCAGTGTTTGAAAACTGCCTAAAGCCTCACTTGTTCTCTGAGGGACCCCTCCCCCCACCTGGCTCTAAAATGGCTCTGCCAGGGATGGAGTCAGGTAACATCTTTTAACAGGCCCAAGGGGGCAGGTATGTCATTGGCTTCTAGAAAGGGGGTCCTTAAAGGGCCAGACCTGAAACGAGCTCTGCTTCTCTTCCTGTCCACATGCCCTTCCCTGGCCCCCACTCAGCTGTGAATGGCCTCACCGCTGCTTTGCTGCTCACCAGCTGAGTTGACTGCAGCCTTCACCTCCAGGAAGGGCTGTAGTGAGGTTAACACAGGGCAGAGGTCTGACTTCTCCCCCATAAGTCATGGAAGAATGGTTTATTCTCTTAAATCACACCTAGAAACAGGCAGGGCTTTCCCTGGTGGAGTCGGGAGCTAATTTAAAGTCCTCATTTTGCAGAGTGGCAAGGTCACATGCCAGCAAAGGGACAGAACTAGATCCCAGGCTTTCTCTTCGTGTCTCTCCCTGCGTAGGGGCAGGGGCTAGAAGAGAGAACCGATGTCCAGCTTGTCCGCGGTGTGACCTGGAACAACTCTGCCCCCTCTTTGGGCTGGTTTCCTCAGCCTCTCTCTGGACATAGCTGCCCCTCCTCACGTCAGGACTTGGGAATGGGAAGGTGGGGGTAGAATGAGAATGTCGGAGTCAAGGGAATCTGGTTTAATCCTAGAGTCCTGAGGGTCAGGTGTATTGCTCTGAAAGGCAGAGTCCCAGGGGCTCTCACCTGACCCTCCATCCCCCATCAGCCTTTTCTTTCCCCAGGTGCCAAACTTTTGGGTTGGTTTCTTAGCTAACAGCCAGGTCTTCCTGAACCCATTTTTAGCTGGGGAAGGAAAGTCCAGGGGAGGTCTCAGAGACTGAGGAGAGCTTGGGGACCAGGAGAGCAGTAGGTGGCCCTGACATCCTCTGGCCTCCCCAGAGAGGAGAACCTTCTGAAGCTACTCTGGTCTTTGGGGTCTGGAGGTGAAGAAAGGACAATGACTTTGCAGGAGTGACACAGTGAGGAGCTATGGCCACAGCACTGGGGTGTAGCCAGACTGTTTGTTTTCTGGGTTGCACAGAAGAGCACTTGGTCCAGAGAAGCTTTTAGCTAATGGTGTATAGTGCTCTGTGCCACCACAATTTCGCCTTTCTCTGGGATTTATTAGTAATCAGCTTTGTCCTGATTTGGAGGTGGAGGTGGGGGGAGGGAATTAGAGATGGTAGGAAATGGAGATGGTCCTGGAGTCACAGGCAGCTCTGCCTCCTCCCTCCACTTCCAGATGTCCCACTGCTTCCCACCAAGGACCTTGGCCATGTCATGTGGCGCTCAGTGGCTTGAACCCCAGCTCTTGGTTTAGTGCTCTGCCCACTACCCCCTCAGCCCAGGGCCTCCTCTAGGAAGCTCCATTTTCTTCTCAATCAACAAACATTGACATCTACTCAGTCCAGGGGCTCAAGAAGCAGCACTTAATCAGAGGGTGCCTGCTTTGAAGATTCTGTGTCTCCCAGTCCTCCCCTAGGTAGCCTTCCCTGACAGTCACCATCCCAGGGGACCCTCTGGGGGCTGGGCAATTTGTGGTGTTTAGAGGACTATTTTTAGGCCTTCATAAATAAGTATAGCCTCTGATCAAGAAATTGACCCCCTTCCCTGTCCTCCCCCCCCTCCCACACACACCCCCCATGACTTCCTGAACACTTTCTTGATGGCCTCCAGCCCTGGGGACTGGACCTGTGCATTGAGGACATTATGGCTACCAGTGAATCTGCAGTCTCAACAAAGGGAAATGAGGGAGGAGGAGCCTTTCTTCAGGTTAATGCCTGGGGCTGGGGAACCAGTTCAGAGTTCTAGTCTGGGACCTGTCCCTCCCCTGGGTAAGCCCCTTCCCTCTCTTGGCTGGCCCTAGCCAAGTGAAGGCATCTCTGGGTGGCACCACCAGAGGGCAGTGTGGGGCTGCTTCCCTGGGTACCTGGGCGTAGCCTGGTGCAGCTGGACTCCCAGTGTCCCCGCCCCAACCAGCCTCCTGATTGGCAGAAGAGGGGTTAGGGGAGGTCACTTAGAGAAGAGGCTCAAAGGAAGCCTTCTGGTTGGGCCAGTCCCATCAGGACTTTCCAGGAAAGAGGCTGCCCCTGTTGATGATCACCAGGAGTCACTTTGCTTCTCACAGATTGGTTACACTGAAAACTCAACAAACATTGATGAACACCCTCTCCCATTGCCACCTGGGGACCAAGGTGGCTTCCTAAAGATGAGGCTAATGCCACAGGTCTTGGCTCAGGTGCTCCAAGCCTGCAAATGGGCGTCTCCAGGAGGCTCCTTCTCCCTGCCAGCAGCTCTGGAGAAAACTGGGGGCCCAGGCTTCTCAGGGCTGGAGAGGTCTTTAGAGCCAGCAGGGGAGGAGGTGTTTGGGAAAGCTGGGAGGCCCCTAGCCTATTTCTTCCCCCATTAGTCCTGACCAGCCGCACCATGGCCAGGAGTCATGGGAGAAGGAATCCTTGATTCTGGAATAATATATTAACCGCCTCCTCTATGCGGCACTGTGCTAAGCACTTCACACCCACTATCTATTTCAATCCTCCTAGCTATTCTGCAACGTAGGGGTTATTCCCATTTCCACAGGTGACTTGCGCAAGGTCATAGAACCTGTATGCGGGAGATCCCTTAAACATCGGGCTATGTGACTTCATTTATCAGATGAGTGTGGGGGGATTCTGGGCTCTCACCTTTATGTCTGGGTCCAGTGATCCCTGGTTCTGGGAGAGATGTAATAAGATGCTGGAGGGGTAGCAGAAGGTGCCCCTCCCCAAGGTCTGGGCACACCCCCAGAGGCTGGCTCCCCAGCCTGGTTGTCTGGGTTCTGGGGGAAGGGACAGGGGTGAGTTAGGCTGAGTCAGCACACCTGGCTTCAGGCAAAGGCAGCCCAACTCTGCTGAGGGCCTGTGCTTGCCTTGGACGGCTTCTTCCTTCCACACCTGGGCTAGGATGTTTGGTGCCAAGGAGAGCAAAGATCCTGGGATGGCAGAGGAGGAGGAGGATGGGCTCCATAGTGGGGCAGAAAGTACCCCAGGCTTGGAACAAGACAGACCTGGGATTCTGTCCTGGCCTGGAACTTCTCCTCTGGGAGACCTTAGGCAAATAATTTACCTTCTCCCTGAACCAGTTTCTGTGTGTGTGTGTGTGTGTGTGTGTGTGTGTGTGTGTGTGTGTGTGTTGGGCAGCTAGGGAGGAGATAGCTTCTGAGTATGAAATGAGGGGCCACACTAAGTGCCTAGCACATAGTGGAGATCTGTACCTGTGTAATGGAGCAGATCTGCCCAGCTTAGGAGAAGCTGCCAGGACATAGCCCCCAGCAGTGTGGGCCTTTGCTTCTCCAGAGCATCACCATATGAGGAATCCCTGGAACCTCCCCGTCTCTCCACCATGGGCCCTGGGGAACTCCATAAGGGGAGAGATGGAGGAAGGGGCAGGCTTTTCATCCCAGGAACATTCCATTCTAGCTGCTCAGACCAGTGGGGATCCCAGCCAAGGACAAAGGCTCAAGGGAACCTCTGCTTACCCCAGGAGCCCCCACTCCTTCCAGGACAGGAGTCAATGGAGCCCAGTTCCATAATATTACCCCAGCACCTTCTCTCCATAATGGCCCCCCTTAAGGAGGTAGATGAAGGTTTTGGGTGGGGCTGGTGGCTGTGGGGAAGAGGTAATTGAAAATCTTGAAATTGTTCTCTCCAGCTTCTCCCAGCAACTCTATGGATCTGAACTCCTGGGATTCTGTTCCTTCCCTGAGCACCTCCTCCAGGAAGACTTCTTCACTGGACCCTACGCAAGGCGGAGCCTCCGTCCTTCACAGGGGCACTTGGTTTTACAGAGACGGGGACAGGATTCTGGGGAAGTTCCTGTATATGAATTTCTTTATGTATACCACATTTGACTTTGGCTTACGTTGTACAATTGGAAGTCCCTGAGATGCAATCAGATTATTTAAGAGTGTAAGCAAACCTTTCCAATGTGAAAGTGAAAAGGATTTCTTTAAAAAATAGAGTCATCACTCTTAAACAAGTCACAACACGGCTTGGTAGCTGCCCTCGCTCCTCAGTCTAACAGCTTGGAGACCTGTTTGAGGGAAACCAGTTTGAGAAATCCCTGTCGTCCTCATTCACTGTTCTTGCCCTGTCCCTGTGGGAACATGCCTGTGGCCCCTCAGAAACATGATCAGCTCTGGCTCCTGAGGGAACACACCTCTTTCTGAGAAAGAGGTAGTGGCTACCTAGTTCTAAGCAAAGTTTTAAATGAGAAAAGGAACCACACTTATTCAAATGTCCTGGTAATAGAGGGAAGAGGGTCACATTTACTCACCCACAACCCAGAACTTATAGAATTCTGCGAAATGAATGTATATTGAGTCAGTCCCCTGATTCATACATTCAGGAAGAATAAATTTCAATGATGTGAGACAACTGCATGTGGTTTTGCGTTTACTTTGCAAGTGTCCTTGCCAATTTTCCTTTATGTGTCTGTCACCACTCTTTAAGTTGGCAATTCCTCGAGCAGTTTCTGTTTAGTTTCATTTGACAGTCTTGGGACTGTTGACTGATTTGCAGACTGATTTCTTCCTTGACCTGGCTCAAAGCTGACTCTCTCCAGGAAGTCTCCCCTGATGAAGGCTGTGATGAGGAAGTCAGGGGTTGGGAATGCACATGTGAGATGTGTGACTGGGAGGGAGGTTGTGCATGTTTGTGATAACCTGGCAGCATACGACCATGCTGGCAACGGTATGGACCTGTTTGTCACTCAGGGTCCCAGCAGGAGACAGGCGCACTCAAACTGGGCAGAGATTTAAAAGGGACTCTTTCCAAAGATGTGGGCTTAAGAAACTAACGAGGAATGGTGCCGCTCTCAGGGGATAGCAAAAGTTGGAAGCCTTTACAACTCCTGGCCCTAAGATGGGGGAGGGAAGGAGAGGGCAAAGGGATGAGAGGACAGCTGTGTGGAGAGTCCCTGACAGGAGCAGTGGCCTGTGACTGAGATAGATGAGTAAGACAACCTGGTAGGGAGGGAACAGGGGAATAAATACCCCATTCTTCTCCAATTTCCTGTGGGGCCTCTCATTGGCCAAACCCAACAGGAAGGTAGGGAACAGGGGAGTCATTGATGCACAGTTCCCAGAGGTCATCCTCCTCAGGGCAAAGAGCAGGGAGAAGGGTGGGGAGTGGGACTGGAGGGGCCAACACTTTGTAGCTGCTTGGGGGCATATCTCTGGTTCCCTAATGTTTACAGCAGGGCTTCTTTGCCCCTCTGGAGTCCCCCCACCTGCTGTGGTCATAAGGGGTGGTGGGTTGTTACTTGGAGAGCACTGTGGGGGATGGGGCTTTCCTTCCTCACCCTTCCCCTCTCTGGCTCTGGGATTTCCAGTTCTTGATAACTGCCTGTCCTGGCATCTTACATGGCTGCAGGAATTGTCCACAAGAGAACAAGGCCAGCCACTGAGTCCGTGTTTTTCTCCCACCCACTGTTCCAGTCTTAAACATACCCACAGGCATGCCTGTTAGCACTGCAGGCCTCAGACATAGTCACCACAAGTCATGGCTGTTGTCACATGTACATCAAGAAAATGTCCGTCTTGTCACACTGATACACTCTGCTATAGTCATACATACAATGGCAAATGTCACAGAAATATAAACTGTCACTTGCCAACATGCCCTGTCACATATATGTATAGGAGACATACCATCATGCTCATCCATGGGACATCAGAGTGTAGGGACAGGATGGTGCAGGGGTTAACAGCAAAGGCTTTGGAGTCAGCCTAACTTCTCTGATCTTTCTGGCATTAGTTTCCTGGTCTGTGACATGGAGATAATCCTTGCTCTTGTGGAGTTGTGAGATGAAATGAGGGGTACTGATCGGGGAGACCTAGCATAGTTTTGGCCTGGAGTAAAGCACTCTAGAAACAGTAGCTGTTACTGGGAACTCCTGTCTCTCTCCTGCTTCTCACCCCATGCAGGTTACACATGGACACTAGTGAGCACGTGCACCTGCACAAGGCCAGTTAGACACCCTTGGGCGCATGCGCCCTCCCCAAACATGCCTCCTGGGAACATGTGCACAGTATCAGACAAGCTCCCTCTGCCTGAACACTCTTCCCCCGATCTGCATGGCTTGCTTTCCACTACCTTTAAATCTGTGCAATCAAATGTCACACTTTCGATGAGGCCCACCCTGACTTCTTTTAAAATTCGCAAACTCCAGCTATTCCACTCCCTTACCCTGCTGTGTATATTTTTGAGCATCACTGACCTTCTAAGACTATATAATTTAGTTTATGACCTGTAATCTTCAAGAGGGCAGGGATCTTAGTCTTGGGTTTTCTGACATATTCCCAGTCACTAGAACGGGTAGCTGGCTCCCCGGGGGCTGACTGCCGATATATGCACTTAAGTACCATTGGTTCCTGGCTTCTCACCTTCTGAAACAAACATATCCAGGTGAAGCCTGCTCCCTGCCCTAACAAGCTAAGCCTCTGTGCTTATACTGTGAGCATCCCCTATGCGCCCAAATCAGGAGCTGGGACAAACTCTGTCCCTCCCAGGACCTTAGTTAGGTGGGCATGGGCAGAGTGAAGACTATTTTAATCACCCAGCAAAGGAAGCCTTTCCACTCACCCTTCTAGCCATTTTGAGCCCAGCAGGGACCCATTGAGCAGGTGAGGTGGCTGGACTTACCCAGATGACCTGGGGCCTCCTCTGTGGCCTAGGTTTTTTTTTTCACTCTGGCTGAAACCATCAAAGCCACCACTTCAGAGGCCACTAATGAGGATGAATGTGTTAAGGGCTTTGCAATTCATGGATCAAAGGGGCTGGGTAAACAGTGGGAAGCGTCCAGGACCATGACTGGCTGATGCTCTGAGGGGAGAGCTTGACATTCACTCCCAGACAGCCTGGTGTGGCCCCTGGTGTTGGAAAGGAGACGACAAACCTGCTTAGAACAAGTTGGAATGTGCCCTTCGCATTTGGGGGTGACAGAACCGGAGGACTGAGGGAACCTCTCCCAGATAGGGTGGCCAAACCTGGGCTTAAGCTCTGGGGGTCCCTAGAAGTCCCCCAGTCTTAGTTGCCACTATTGGAGGTCGTCTCCAGTCTGGATTCACCCAACTTGTTTTCCACTTGCTTCCTGGGAAGGGATGGGGTAGAGTGGGCAGAAATGGGGCCAAGCAGCTCTGAGCACCACAGGGTGAGACCAGGTCCAGGATCATTTGGATTGTAGGTGGGAAACACTGAAATAATGACTCTTGACCAGGAGACTTGCTGAGGCAATGTGCAGGTGCAAGTCATACGTGTAGACATGAGCTCCTAGCACAGTTGTCAAGCTGGGGCTGGTGTTGATGGAAGAAGGGGCGTTCCCTCAGCCACAGCCCAGGACTCAGACCCCCCCCCCCAAAGTCCCCTCCCACCATATAAGCCAGACTCAGGCTCGGGGAGGCAGCCACAGCCCCCACAGCCATGGAAGGTCCTTCTCCCAGGAGAAAGCATGGTGCTAGGCTCAGTGTAGACAATTTTTATTGGCAGGTGTTAAGAGTGCAGAGGCGGGGCATGGTTCTCCTCCCCCAATTGAGGACCCTGTAACCAGACCAGTGGGGTGGGAACACTTGACTGTGGCCAATTTGGGCCCTGTACCCTCCTAAGAACAAGCTCCCAGGCAGGAGGGCTCCTCGTGACATGGGGGAAGGGAGCAACACCTGGAAGGGTCTTGGGCTGTGTCCTACCCCAGGCCACTTGGTCCTGTCCACCACATACCTTGACTGTTCAAGTTAGGAGTGTTAGGGGACTGGGCCAAACATATTCCTCTCCAGGTATCTGTCTCATGCCTCCCTGTCCCTCCCCAGTGATTAGCCAGGTTGGACTACTAGGCCTGTGAGTGGCCCAGCCTGACCCAAAGCGACTAGTTCCCATAATGCACCATATTTTAGCCATTGTGTGGGCTGCAGACCCTTGGGGCTGCTGGGCTCACTATAGGCTGGCCCTAGCCAAAAAGACCCTTCTTAGGCCACAGAAATCAACCCACGATGATGGACATTGAGACTAACACCCCAAACATGCTTTGTCTCCTAACGGCAATTAACCCCCAAGACAAACAGCTCCTGCACCCCACAATCATGTTGGTCTAAAAGTGTGCTGCAATAAGCAAAGAACCCCAGCTTGGCCGTAAGCCCACAGAGGCCTCACTCAGGGAGTCTGGTCTGTTAGTCGAAGGCCCAACCCTGTAGCAGTGCTGGGCCACCTGGCACAGGCTGCCTGTCTCTGGTCATGCCCTCCACACAGGCCTTGAGGCCCCGCTCCATCTGGGGAGACCCAGTCTCTCCTGACCAGGGTCTCAGTCAGTTACAAGGCAGCCAGGTGGGATAGCAGGAGTGGGCCCAGGCCAGCAGGGGCTGCACAGGGGTCACATAGTAATTGAAAGTGGCAGGCACAGCCCCATCAGGGCCTGGAGGGCGCCAGGCCAGGGCAGCGGCAGCCGCTGGGCCCTGCTCAGCCAGTGCCTGGAGTGCCATGGTGGCGATGAGGTCCAGTGTCTGGCGACGCTCGTGGCTCATGAGGCACACAGTGCTCTCGTTGACCACCTGATGCAGTGTCACCAGGCAGGCGTAGCGGCGGGCTGAGTCGGCCCCGCTGAAGTGGGCCTCCAGGTAGCGCTCCAGGGTGCGCTGCTGCTCCACCAGGTCCGGGAAGTCAATAAAGAACCTGGAGCACATGTAGCGTTGCAGGGCGCGCACGTCGGTGCTGGGCTGTGGCCGGAAGCCACGCACCAGGAGGTGGCAGTACTTGAGGAGGCCGCCACCGCGGATCTCTTCAGGGTTGCGTGTGGCGATGACTCTGTGCCGCAGGTGCTCCAAGGCTTCGTTGAAGTCCCCGTACAGGCTCTCGCCCGTCACCGTTGGATGGAAGGCCTCAGACATGGGCGTGGATGAGCACTGGCCGAAGAGCAGCAGGGAGTCCAGCATGATCTGGAAGGAGTCTACGCTGAACTCGAACTGGCGCCTGACTGAGTCCACAAATTTGAGCTCCATGTTCTTGCCGCTCTTGTTGGACAGTGAGATGAGGCTCCAGCGGTCCGTGTCTGTGCACACTTTCACCAGCTTCTGCACGTAGGCCTCCTTGAGTGTCAGTGGCGTGATCTTGGCCCGGCTCACGCCAGCCGGCAGGAAGTCCAGCAGGCAGGCCAGCACCACCTCCTTGGTCAGCTGGAAGGATGCCTCGCTGCGCAGGTCCACGCAGAACACTAAGTCTAGGTCCTTATAGCCCAAGCCATTCTCGGGGTGCAGCACGTGGCTGGCAGCTGAGCCGTGTAGCCGCACACCATGCACGCGCAGTCCCTGTTCTTCTAGGCTGCTGCGGACGACCTGTGGAGGGGACGGCAGGAAGGAGAGGTGTCAGGAGCTTGTCCCCCGTCCCCAGGTCTGCT